ATATACTGTATATATATATATATATATATATATATATATATATATTACATAATACAATCTTAGTTAAGTTAATTTTATTTCAAGCAATAGTTTTTAAGAAAATAGTTACTGTATTATCACGTCAGCTCACTATGAGTGACATCTAGGTATATTTTCAGAAATAAACACATTATTTAGCGTTTTAATTAAATTCCATTTAAAAATCTCTACATTTGGCAGTCAGATCACATGCTGAAAGAGATGTTAAAAATCATGCTTAACTTCTGTTTCATTCGTCACATTGACTTACTACATGGTCAAGTAGAGAGCATTGCATTTTGGGACATTTTGCATTTTAACTGTTCTGTCCAGTGTGTTTTGTTGTATACTTTCAAAATTGTTGTAGGTAATCAATGCATACTGAAAATCGACATGCTGTGCACAGTGTGCACACTGCATACTGCAGAAGTGGAAAGAATAGTATGTACTTTGTATAGTATGTCCTTTGGTCCGATCCCATAAAGCGCTGATGTGTTCGGCTCTCTCTGACGCTGGTTTCTGGTTTTAGCTGCAGTCAAACAGTGTGGTTTGGGTTCGCTTTCGTCCCTCTGTAAACACTGGAAAGGATGAGGGGAGTGAACATGTCAGTTTCAGAAAGCAAAGAGCTCTGACTCTGAAATGAATTGTAGAGCTGTTGTTTCTAACATCTATCACTGTGCCATTAAAGTTTGTGATTAACGGTGATGTTTTTGCAGGAACTTTATCTGTGGTAGGAAAGTAAACTGGAGTTTATGTTCATGCTGGGTCTCGTCCCCTGTCTCAATCCCACAGCACACAGAGGAATAGCCTGTAATTACATAGAGATGATGATGGCCTCGCTGTTCCTGCTCTGCTACAGCCCCCTCATACCTTAAACTTAGAAAAATGCAGGGTTTCCAGCAAACTTAGATTTAAAATACAAATTTTGGATCTTAGATTATGTAGATGTTTTTCTTTTCCGCGAAGATTGTAGATGTTTTGATGTTAAAATACTTGTTCTTCTCCACTTTTATGTAAAGAAGCTGCAACAAGTAAACCATTTGTAAGTTGATTTTTGGAAAAGTCATTTTAAACACTGATTCCGTGGAGTTTTATTTGCTTGACCGGCCTGATTTGAGTGAATGCATCATTGTGTCCACCAGTGGCATAGGGTGGGACTACCTGTCTTTAAAAGGGTTTAAAAAAGGGTTATAAAAGGGTTTGCCAAATGGATAAATGTAATTGTAAATGAATATCTCAAAAGCCTGGAGAAAATCAGCATTGTATAGTGGTAAGCCATGCAAAGGCTTAAAAACAAACAGTAGCACTTTAAAATCAATTGTGTACTGGATTGCTAGTGAAGGAAAGCCAAGACTGGTGTAATATGATTCTCATTCTTGTTGTCTGTCAGAAGATTGGCAGCTGCATTCTGGAGAGCTGCAGGAAGGACAGATGGTGTTGAGAGATTACCGTATAAAGAGTGTTACAATTGTAAAAGAGAAGAAGAAAAAGCAAGTATATTTTACTGTGGTGAGATACATTAATCAAAATGGAAGTTGATCAATTGGACATTTTATTGGTTGTGTTAAAAGGTCCAGATATAATGCATTCCCTCTTATCGTCATAAAGTAGGTTTCTTACCAACCAAGACTTAACTTCGATGACGTTCACCTGGTGTGAGTGGTTTGACAACTGTGAGTCATTAGCATAGAGTTGATAAAAATAAAAAAGGTTGTGTTTGTGGAAAACTGAGCCCAAAGGACACACATGCAGTGGGAATAAAATAGGACCTAGAACGGAGCCCTGTGGGACACCACAGTTTAAAATTGCCGGAGAGGAAGACAGATTCATAAAACTCATGGAAAAGGGGGCTTAGTCACTTCAAGCAAAGCAGACCCTGTGCTATGGTAGGTTCTAACTTATCAGAAATATCATCCAGTATACATGAATCAAAAAGTTGTGACTGGAACATTGAGGTTTCCTTTTATGTGTGGCTAAGGTCTATTTGTAGTTCTCCAATTATGGTAATGCTCTTGTCTTTCTTTGACCACAAACCATAGAGAACAATTACAAATATTCATTTCCAAAACACACACTGACCTTCTACAAAGAATGTAAAATATGTGAGATGAATGGCGTTTGTTTACATTTGTGTGTAGAGTGAATCGATTGTGTGACCCAGCTTCTGCTGCACTTGTTTTGCTCCAAACTATCTCATATGGTGGTAGTTCTGCCCCAGAGGAATGCCGAGAGTTGTCCAAATTCAAAGTCCAAACCTCTGCCAGAGACCAGCACAGCAGATGGCACCATCTCACTGAACTCTTTCTCTCTTACTGAGTGCAAAATCACCAGCATGTTTCATTTCAAACCGCAGATCATGTTGCCATTATATTAAATTGAATTATTAATTCATACTTTATTAATAATGAACCACATTGTGAAAGGATATCACAGTTTCCTGAACATGAGTATTAACATTGCAGAATGCATTGTATGATTGCATGGTTGGCGTCACACATGCATAGATCTTTGTATTGCTGGTAGTTCACGCTCCGTTGGATGACTGGTATTCCAGTACAACATTTCCTTGTACAGAGGCTTATTGTTTTGTCACATCCTTCCTTGAAATTGTGTATTTTGAAGCACCGAGTCGTTGATTACAGCTTTGTGGTGTCAGGAGACCAAATTCCAATTTGACAAACAGTCTAGGGGTAATGAATGAATCTCAGAGTGTTGGTCATGTGCATCTAATTACCATAATGCGTGTGAAATACCCTTTAGAATAAGGAGAAGAACAGGGCTGCAATTAAACGTGTCTGCCTGCCAAAGCCTGTATTTGTGCAATGTTGTGTGAGCAGAGAGGAACAGTTTATATTTCTTCTGTTGATTCGTTTTGTGTGTCTTAGAGTAGACGGCACACCCACAAACCACCCATAGTCCCCTCGCTGACTGTCTCATACATATTGCACATGGATATGAAATGGATTATACCATGATAATAGGCCAACGTGAATGGATTGTGGAAGATAGATGATTATATGTTCACCTGGTGTGAGTGGTTTGACAACTGTGAGTCATTAGCATAGAGATGATAAAAAGAAAAGTTGTGTTTAAGGAAAACTGAGCCCAAAGGACACACATGCAGTGAAAATAAAATCAGACCTAGAACAGAGCCTTGTGGGACACCACAGTTTAAAATTGCGAGAGAAGATGACAAATTCACAATACTGATGGAAAAGATTTTGTCCTTCAGATAGTATTTGGTCGCCTTAAGCAAAGCAGACCATGTGGTATGGTAGGTTCTAACTTATCCGAAATATCATCCAATAAACATGAATCAAAGTTGTGACTAGAACATTAACAGAATCTCAGAGATTCATTCATTACCTCTGGAGTTAATGAGAACTGTATAATTTGTCTTTGTTTCTCTGTTATATTTGTGAAATAATGAATATTTGTTACTTTTAGAAAGGAAATAAATTGTAAATTACAAAAAATGTATACTACATTTTTATTTTTAACAGTGTTTTCTGTACAGGCGGTCTTGGACTGAAATGTCCGTGCAGTGATTTGAATTTACTCCCTTTTGATCTGTTTTGCCTTTTCAGATAAACCCACATCTTAATAATACATACTTTTTTTTGTAATTAATTTGTATTACAGTCTAAGTGAGAGGTTCTTGGCCAAAGTAAGATGGAGAATGGACCAGACTTGGTCAATATATAAAAGCTGGGCTAACAAGACTAATCTTTGAGAGTATTTGTGTGTGAATTTATAATTACTGTACGTGTGACTGAAGAGAGAGTTTGGCTACCTTCTGTGCCTTTCACCACAGCCTCCTTCTACAAGCATCCTTTGAGTCCTGTCCCTGCAGAGAGAGGAACAGTGGGGTAGAAATAAATGAATGAAAGTGAGAGAATGAGTCTCATCTTCTGATTCTCTTCTCACAGGGTAACCCAGACTTGATTGCACTTCTCTGTTCGATTTATACAAAACCTTTAAAAGGATATAGGCCTTGATGTTGATATATTTTTACTGATATACATGCAATTTGATTTTTGGAAGCAGCCAATGATGTAATTAATTTGACAGCCCTAATTTAAATGATGCTTTTTTTCTTTAATTTTGCAGCTCATCATCCTAGAGGACTATGCCGACCCCTTTGACGCAGCGGACCAGGCGGGTGGCACCCAGACGGTCACAGAAAAGCCAACGGAGAACGACGGCTACATGGAGCCCTACGAAGCGCAGAAGATGATGGCTGGTAAGATGACGGTGTTTTCCTCCAGTAATTTAATGCATCATTTTTTGTGTTGTGCAGCTTGATGATTGTGAACTCTGAAGTGGCTTTTGGGAGAATATAATCAAGCATGATAATGCATCTGGGCCTATTTAAATGTGTGCACTAGGCCCATGGGATCTCACTCAATTTATGCTTAGTAAGTCACTCTCTTGCTGTTAAACATGGCTTCCATTAGATGCGACTGGTTTTTTCTTAGTACTTGGAAATGTGGTGTCTAATTTCCTCTGTATTTCTGTGTAGTGCTGTAAACTGAAAAACAACAATCAATTAGATGCTGTAGATTGTGATGGCTTCCTTTATGTGTTGCGAAACATCTGCTCGGTGCTTCTGTTTAGTCGAAATTCATGGGTCTGTGGCAGCAATTAGCCCAGCGTGAGCAGAGTGGTGCTCGAGGAAATCATCTTGCCTGTCTGAATGAAGACGGCAGCCATATGTGAGCTGTCTAGAGTCCGGTAAATACAGTGCAACCTCCATAAACAATCTGCATATGTCAGGCGCTGTGGTCTCGTGTCCATGTACAAGGGCACAACCGCATGAACGCATGCACACAGATGCTGTCAGCCATTTGTATACGCTGCAATAGGGTTTGAAGAGGAAGTGGCTGTGTTCCTCTCTCAGCGTGGCTCAAACAATGGAGAGGCCATCTGTCATTGATTCACTGCAGTCTGGTGCTGTTAGCCTAGAAGAGCCAACCAAATTACTCAACAAACAGACCATGTAGATGCAGCATAAACAGTGTTTCTCAAGGTCAGACTGAGACACTGCAGAACTATTAACAGCTTTGGTTTACCATGAATGAAAATCCTTTTAATATCTGTGGCTAATGTTGACTAATATGAATAAATGCTAGTTTTGTTCACAGTATTGTTAGTTCTGTTAGTGAACGTGTCACTGTCAGTGACCCACATTGGGTTTTTGACCACTGAAAATGTGTCCAATTTAACAATTTACTCTTGGAGCCATATTGAGATTTTAATATCTGTGGAATTGAACCATATATGGCTTTTAAAATAAGGAAACCAAAAGAAAAGTTTGTTAAAAACCAAAATCTAAAAGCATACTATGAGATCCTTAATACTTCTTGAGTTACAGCCATGCAAACTTTGAGGGGGAAAAAAACAAACTCAGAGCACTTTTCCTCATTTTTTGAACTGTCGCCTTTGGCATTTACTGCAACAACGATTGCAAAAGACAAAAGATTTTACTAATAGACCTACCAATCTCTGTGTAAAAATAATATTATGTTGCTGCCATTTTTCTAACGTCATTTTTACCCCCCTGTAATTCATCTCCAGCTGAAAATTGTCCAATAGTGGATTACTCTGTAAATATACATCCGTGACATTTAATATTTTGGCTTTCATCACTATTTATGTTTGTTAAATAAAAATCAAAAATTTGAGATGGGGATATTTTCGGGTTGACTTTTTGGTTGTGTTTGAACAGAGCCGGAGGAGCGGGCGTCTCGTAAATCAGCTCAGCGCATAATTTCCCAGGTTGATGTTTCATAACACGTCATCACCTCCGAGCAGGACAGCTGGCCATTTTATTTTTTTTACAGTTGGACTCCATTCCTTCTTCCTCTTTTTCATATATTCATCTTTTCATCTGAGCCATCTGTCCTGTCACAGAACGCATAGGGAAAATAAATTAATAAATGAATGTATCTTGGATGTGCTTCTTGCTTTCTAAACAGAAGGGGAGATGAAACTGGCATTTTATTGGCTCGTTACTTTAATGTCTAAATGCTGTCCATATGTATTTATTTATGGAAAAAAAAGATTGATTTGTCTTTGTTCGACACTGTGACTACATGAATTGTGCTTACATGAAAAATTCCTATTCCCAATCCCTACAAATCTGTTTGTTTTATTTATTTGGTTTGTTTATTTATTTGGTATTTAAACATTATAACAATTTGGCATTTTAACATAATACATACTGCCTTTTTTATTTATTTATTTATTTTAAGATGAATGTGTGTATATTACATTATAGTACTAAAATTTGGGGTTGTTTCATTAATGAAAATATTGTCAAAATGTTAAATTGTAGACTAAAAAATTCTGTGGTCCTAAATAGGCTTTATATTCTTTTTTTTCCCTTCAATTTTGGGGTGAAATATGATTAGGACAGGCTTCAGGAGATTCATCTATAAATGTTTGTCATGGTGAGATATGCCTGTGTGTGTGTGTGTTCCCTGTGGATTGTTTGGAATGTGTAGGTGTTTCCCCGTCAGTATTTCCAGCACTGCTGTAGTGTCATCACACACACACACACACACACACACACACTTGCATCACATTCATGTGTGAGAGTGCTTGCCGTTTCCTTCGATACTGTGTGTGGAATATCTTACTAACTAGAGGAAGTGAGCAATCTCTCTTTGTATTTTTCCCTTACTTTCTCTTTCTGTCACTCACGCAGACACGCTAAACTAACAGAGACACTTTCACTGAGCTGCTGTATGTTTAAACACGTCTGGAGTTTCAGGAAGGCAGTAAGGCTGTCGTGACCTGTCAGCCTGAACTCTGTGTTCATGTGTGATGATACTGGTACGTCTCTGCGACACGTTTCACCATACGAGAACTTTCCCACAATCCCAAGGTCTCCTGTGCTGCGCAAACGAACACTCTTGGTCATTCTGATGAGATTATACACATACATACACACACACACACACACACACACAAACACACACACACACACACACACACACTCGATGCATGAGGAGAGTGCGGTGTAGTGTTTGTGTTTGCTGTGGTGGAGTGGAGATGCAGAGAGCAGGTTTGAGGAGAGCTCTGAGGCCTGTGAATGGTGTCTCTATCGGTGTGCGTCTCCTCAGTGAACATTCTCACACTGAGCTGCAGTTTCACAGCGTCTGCTGACTCAGGCTTTCCCTCTCACTCCCCAGTATTTCATCATTTGGGTTTAGTGGAGTATGTGAGAATGTGTCTTCAGCCCTCCTGGATGTCAGTGTTGGGGGAAGAAAAATTGGGAATACATTTGGAAATGCATATATTTAAAGAATATTGTCCAGCAGAGAATCCAAAGAAAGAAAGAAACCTATGAAGACTTCAGATGCAAAAAGTCCTTTTTCTTTTAAATGAGCATTTTTATCAGGCTCCTATGAAAATAACATTGGACATTTTTGAAAATTAGACATTCAATAACTGACTAATAACATTTTCTTTGCCATT